TTATATCCATTGATCTGTTTAGTTTTTATTTTTTTGAAATCTGTTGCACACCTACTCTAAGTTGAAATTTTCCGTACGATGCATAATTCAGTAGAAAGAAATGTGCTCTACTTAAGGAATACATTTTTTTTTATCGTAGCTTTCTTTTGTCTAAGGATTAGAAAACAATGTTGTTTTCACCCATACCGGAAATAGTCAATAAAAAAGCACTTTTTTATATGATGTTTAGCCAATTTTATTTTTCTATGTACCATTAGGATGAACACTATAAATTGCATGAATTAATTCTATTTGAATGAATATTTAATGCTGGAAAATAGTGTTGATCGTCTCTTGTGTGTACATCAATCACAAATGAGTCTTCTTGTACAGTCTTACTAACGCATTGAAGGAGGTATAAAAAATTATTCGAGCGGAGTGGAGTTGTAGGATATCTTTTTTCGTACAAAACTCTTATATTTGAAATCAAAATCGCTTATATACTTTTGTTATGTTATAAATAGTAGAAATAAAAAGTTTAATGTAGTCTGAGTAACAGATCTTATTAAATACATGCTTAAATTTTGCACGTCGCGTCTACGTAGATAGCAGATTAAAATTAGAACAACTCGCTATTTTAAGTTTCATTTAATACATCTTTGTTTGATGAAATATATATTCAGTCTATTGCTTGTACTACAGTAAGCTTTTTACTCCTGCTATCTATGACGTAACAAAATATGATTTCTTTTGATTTCAGATATAAGAATTTTGTATGAAAAAATATGATTCAATACAAATTCACGCTTTTAATACAATTTTTAAAAATACTTTCTTCAATGTGTGAATGAGATCGTACACGAAGGTCTATCTGAGATAGATATATATGTCAGCGTCCAAACTGAGATTACGTCCAATCTCAGATTGGCCTAGGTGAATGTCGGATCCGAGATTGGACGCGTCCAATCTCCGATTGACGCAATTCTGTTCATTAAAATATCAATTACCCTGTAGATAGACCTTGGATTCGAACTATTTTTTTTTCAGTTATGTTCACACGATGCCAGTTTGTTTGGCACAATTGTCATTTGACAAATTTGAATAAAATTTTAGGAGTTATGAATAAATTTCTAGAGAACAAGAACTTATGTGAAAAAACTTTTATTACACTTTTGAGTCTAAATTTAGCTTCTTTCTAAATGCTTGTAATACTTAAAACGGCATTGTGTGAACATGATTTCAAAAAATAGTTCGAATCCAAGGTCTGTCTAAAGGGTAATTGATATTTTAATGAACAGAATTGCGTCAATCCGAGATTGGACGCGTCCAATCTCGGATCCGACATTCGCCTAGGCCAATCTGAGATTGGACGTAATCTCAGTTTGGACGCTGACATATATATACAAGAGGCAGACCAACACTGTTTTCCATCATGAATTATCTACTCAAATAGAACAATTCATGTAAATTGTAGTGCACTTGTTAATAGAGTCTTACATAAAAAAATTGTCCAAACATCATTTGGAAAAATGCTCTTTTGTTGACAATTTCCGGTATGGGTCAAAACAACATTGTTTTTTGTCCCTAGATTAAAAAAAACTCTAAGACAAAAAGTATTCTTTAAGTAGAACACATTTCTTTCTGCTTAATTATGTAGCACACACAGAAAATTTCAACTTAGAATAGGTATGCAATAGTTTCAAAAAAAAATGAGTGATTGAATAATTTCAGATAGTTGAAAATCATCATGCTGACATTGTTTCGTCAATAAAAACTACACAGAACAATAGATTGATCTAATTTTTTTTTATTAGTAGTCTACTAAAGACTATAGACTGTATTCTGACAAAAATCAGATTATTCTAATTCATCTAGTTTTTTTTTTTGAGAACATACACAATACAAAAAAAAATTATCTAGTAGGTGGATCATTTTGACAGTCATTGTATGTGAGCGATTAGTTACAATTCTTTACAATCAAAAACTGAGTAAAGCAGTGCTAAACTCTGTCGTCTACAATCCTTTGTAGAAGTTATAATCATCATTCTGAGTTATGACGTCTTAGAATAAAAATGTAAAAATGGGTTTCAATATTTATTTAATGAACAGATGATTTCCAAACATTTTCTATCTTAATTTTTCATTGCAATAGAATTTCACTAGAATAACTTATACATTAGATACATGCCGAAAAAAGTAGTAATTTCATTAAAAAGAAACAAATTCATTGTATAATATAGATTTCATTTTTCTACAAATGTGTTTTATATTATAATTCTTGTGTCAACTTCATTTTACTAACGTATATTTTCTCATTATTCAAATATTTCTATTTTATTTATTACTATCGATTTTGAAGCTTTTTTTGAAGCTAAAGAAAAAAAAACAATTGCACTTATATATTTCTATGCGTATGTCTCTAGAGAATTTGGTATTTCTCATATTCTAGATTAACTCTATTGAAATATTATTTTCTATGGGAATATTTTCATCGGCCATGCATTCTTTTCGGCCTTAGCTTCTGACAGGCTTGACTTCTTTCATTGTGTGTATTCATTGTTAAATTTGATTGCCAATAATCAAGTCAACCAGATGCTTGACATTTAAAAGCAAACACCACTATATTAACAACGAGAAGAAAAAGATAAGGAAATATATGACGAAAGAAATTAAAATACAATATTGAAGTCAGTTATAGAATATGATTGAAATGCTTGTTTCAACATTACCATATCATCTACAATTTGATTTTTATTGATCATCTGATGAACTTGTCAAACATGTTCGACAAAAATATTTATCAATTCTTGAGTATTCTCGTTATTCATTACAGCGTTTTCTTGGTAATCTTCATCTTAATCGATCGAATGTTCCATTTTTCGAAACTATGTTTGACTTTATTGCTGTTTTTTCAGAAGTTAATCATTTATATTTAAATATGGCAAGTTTAGAAGAAGTGTCAATCGAACAAAGATATTAAGTAGGCAAATTTCACTTCTCAATGACATTTATTTGTAATTCAACATCAAATGATAATTTATTGTCTTGTTCTCCTTCTCATATTAACTATATATGTGATATATGGCCAAGTTCACCAATAGATATGTTTCTGTAACAGAACGAAAAGAAAAAGCGTTCAAAGGAAGAGAGAAATAAAGAGAGCAATAGATCATATCTATATTTGTTGGAAAATCTTTTTTTTTATTTTTGCTCCTGATTTGAGCAGATCCTTTCGAGGTAATTAGTACTTCTGTCCCCACCTTTTACGCTCTCTCCAATAATATCATTTTGATTGTCTACATGGCATTGAAATTTCGAAGGTATTGCCATGTAGCTAAATTGAAAAAATCTTCCGATGATGAATTTTTTTCATTACATCGTCCACCGAAGAAAATAATAAAAAACAAATTCTTTTTTTCCGTATAAACACGGTATTAAAAGATTTCGTCTCGATATATTTTTTATTCTGTTACGGAAACTTCTTTATGTTGTGATAGTGTGATATAATAGTGTGCCATCATTGATCTTCTAATATCGCTTTCACTTTTATTTTGCTATACATCTATAGACAATTCTATTTATATGTTCTTCAACAAACAATGGCTTCGTGTTTATAAGAAGTCACTTATGATTCTTTCTTCTTCTCATATGTCTTCCAGATACAGTGTCATATATTTCGAACGAAGTATTTCTTCTAAATCTAGAGCATGGGCAAAGTTTGATCGCTTTCAAGACAACGGAGAAAAAAAATGTACTCAAAGAACCTTTTTAAATAAAACTCAAATTGATCGTTTTTGTCTTCAGATCATTAGAGAAAATGTCTGGATTATTTCACATTTCTTACAATGTTATTCATACTGATAACAATCATGGATTGTCTCATTCTTATGTTTTCCCTTGTCAAGGATATTTATAAAATCACAAGTGATAATTAACAGAGAAAAAACACATGTATTTTTTTGCTAGAGAAGCCAATAATGGTTTCTTTTTTTAACGATTTAATTTAAATAAATATTTTATCTTCTATAAGCTACACATCCACTTTTCGATGAACATTCTGCTTATAATCTTATTTGAGTATGTTGACTGAAAGTATATAACAGTGATGGAGTTCGTACATATCGTCAAAAATGCCACTGATGACTAGCTACTCATAATCTTTTCTGACTCCCTCCATAAACTTCTTTCGCATTGATTGGTGATGTTTATTTCTAGATATTAATAAACACTTACTTCAATTACACGTAAAATTTTACTTTACAATGTCTAGCTCTACTATACCCAGCACTGAAAAGGTATTTTTTTTTATTAGTCACAAAAAATGTCTCGTGTTAAAAAGGACGCTGCAGTTGTTGATGTAATTTTTTTTCAATAAATAACGCGTATACGTCTGTCTATCATGAACGGCGTCCTACCGTCTCGTTACTCAATAATATACATATATATATTTCTCTCTATAATGAACAGTGTCCTAGCGTCCTAGCGTCTTGTTGTTGTCAAGGACGCTAAGACGGCAGGGCACTATAATTATCAAAGAAAATTTTTTTCAATCAACAACATATATATATTGAGGTTAATTGGATTGTATATAAAGATACACTCTAAAATAAAATGTGTCGGATGTGTTGCAACAAGCACGTCGTGTCGTGTTTCTTGCGTTCTCCGCTGGATATATATAGCGAAGAACGCAAAACACACGACGTGACGTGCTCGGTGCGGCACATATTAGTTTAGTGTGCATTGATCTTTCTCTTCTAGTCATTGATCAATTCTGATTTAAGCGAAGAAATATTTTCTTACATTTGTTACTGCCAATTCAAGTACAACAATGATTCTCATTGTTTTAATCAGGCAGTGGATTTCATATGTGCACATTGCACAAATAAGTTTTGTCTTGATCATTTGATTGAGCATGCAAAGAAAGAAGAATCATCAAGGTAAGAAAAATATGTAATTAGTTGGATCTGAACGAGAGTAGATTAACACAAGATCAAACAAAATATCTTTCAATTCGGTTTCGAATGTTATGCATTCAACTAGCCTATTTAAATCATCGTCAATCAGGCGCACGTCATTATGTCCTTCTTGCAAATGTTTTTCTACTTGTAGTCGTACAACATGTTCATGCTCGTGCAAATCAACTTCGGTCTCAGGTCTGTTAGAAAAGATTTTTTTATTAGTCAAATTTAAAAAATAATTATTTTTATTAGCGTCAGCAATGATATTTCGTCCAACAGCCATATCGACCCCAGCTCAATCAGGGATGTTATTCCATCCAATAGCTATATCAACACCACTTGAAGATAATACATCAACGATAAAAGACACATCTGAAAATATCAATCATCGTTGTACAAATAGCCATATTATCGTTTTAAATTCGACAATAAACAATCAACGGCATTTAGTTAATATAGCACCGGATAAGTCAATAAATGTTTTACCAGCAGGAATTCCATCAAATGTTCCTTTTTCAGTATCGCAAACAAACTTACAAGAAAAATCAAAGGATGAAAGAGGAAATGAAGCTCTTCAAAGAGAAATTTCAATCAAAGAAGATGATGATCGATTCAACCGAGTAAATTTTTTTTTTAAATATTGCGACATCTAGAAGTTACCATGATATATATGTTTCCATTACAACAATGTATCCTACCGTTCGGTTAAATACGAATGAAAAGTTACCCAAAATTAAATATCTATGTGTTGCCGGTAATGTTCTTTTTAATATGAATCATATCAGTAAACCGTGAATTCTAGATACATCGACATCATCAAATGAAAAATTCGTTTCAATCCATCTTTGTTTTGAAAACAAAGTAAATTTCAAGCACAAATTTCTGAATCATCTTTTTCCAGGTATAGATTGAAATCTGACACATCTCATCTAAATATTTTATTCAATAGATCTGAAAGAATCAGATTATTTACTTGAGACAAATGCTGATCAATATAACGCTGAAATCAAATCCATAGCGGAGGATAGATACATTGAAAATTCAGTTTATATATGCAAGAAAGGAAAAAATGCATTGACTGATGATTATCGCCAAAAACAGGCCGAAGTTGCTGCGATTGCGTTTAAAAAAGAATCTGTTTTTGCTGGTTCGATAATTTATTTACGTAGAACTTCTCTAAAGGATATTCGTTTTCTAGCTGCTGATGTATTGAAAACAAGTCTTCTGTTTGAGTACTTAGTATTAGGAAACCAAATGAGATGCACCATTGTATACGAACTTCAAATGGCGAATAACCAGGCAGAAATCGATTATAAACCAATGTATGATCCAACAAGTTTTAAGTAAAGATTTTCTAGCAATAATTTTTGCAATCTCCGATTTATTACAGAATTCCTGAAGAACATCAAGACAGAATAAATGAGTGGTTAACAAATGACTTTCAAAGGCGTAACGATAACGAAATTACCCGCTGCAGATGTTTATTCATGATCGGTCCAACTAAACACGGTATCTAATTCGAATTTTTTAAAATTTATGTCATTAGATAATGCATATACGTTAAACAATTAGATCTAAAAAAATATCTACTTAATTATTTCGATCATTCAAGTGTTGAATATCTTGCTTATTCAATTATCTATATATCTATTCGTTCATTTAGTTCATAAATACTGATTAAATTAACTAAGATATGACTGTATCAATATTGACTCTATTTATACTTTTTAGCATTCATATTTCATCATTGAAGTTTGAGTAAATCATACTAATGAAATTTAATGGTAGTTCACTTGAGTGAAAAGTTTATTTTGAAATATTTTATTTTATTTTTTTCAATGAAACTGAATAAAATTTCCGTCTTTATTAAAATTATTGGGTTGGTAAGAAATTTTTGTCGTTTTTTTTCGTAACTTCCTAGAACAGTCAAGAAAGTTCTAGAAGTTTCCATACTAAGGGTATATCAAGGGAGTGTAAATATCTTTCGAACAACAATAAAACTATGGATATAGATACTGATCTCGAATTAGAAATGAAAATATCTCGTAGAGAGCTCCGGTTGCTTCTGCTTCATGAATTCCGTCTGGATCACAAAACAACAGAAGCAACAAGCAACATATGCCATACGATGGGCAAGGATGCGCTCTCCATTCGTACAGCGCAACGTTGGTTCAATGAGTTCAAGAACGGTAACTTCGAACTCGATGATTTACCTCATACTGGAAGACCACTAGAGGTGGATACGGATCTCTTAAAGGAGCTTATCGAAGAAGATCCTAGATTGACTACACGGTGTTTAGCAGAGCGTCTTGGGTACTCTCATATTACAGTGGAAACACATCTGCACGAATTAGGCAAAATGTGGAAATATGGAGTTTGGATGCTCCATGAGTTATCACCACTTCAGATGCAATATAGGGTTGATGCTTGTATGGAATTGTTGACTTCTCATCGCAACTATCAATGGCTCTGCAATCTTATTACTGGTGATGAGAAGTGGGTGTTGTATATTAACTACCAACGTAGACGCCAGTGGCTGAGCGCTGGTCAAGCAGGTGTACCAACGCCTAAGACTGATCTACACCCAAAGAAGGTGATGCTGAGCGTGTGGTGGGGAGTCAAAGGGATTATTCGTTGGGAAATTCTTCCAGACGGCTGCAACATCACAGCTGATCTCTACTGCCAGCAATTGGATCGGGTTGCAGAAAAACTCAAAGGAAAACAAGATCGAATTTACTTTTTTACATGATAATGCCAGACCCCATGTAGCAAAGTCGACACGCCAAAAGTTATTGGAGCTTGGTTGGATCACTGTTCCTCATCCACCTTATTCTCCAAACTTAGCTCCTACGGACTACCATCTGTACCGTTCTCTCGACAATCATTTATGTGAGAAAAAGTTCGAAGATGAAAACGACCTCAAAATGGATCTTCTCAATTTTTTCGACCAAAAGTCTCAAGACTTCTACGAACAAGGGATCCTTTCTCTACCAGAGCGTTGGCAACAAGTCATAGACAGTAATGGAGCATACATTGTTGATTGATAATTGTATTCTGATATTTAAAAAATAAAAATAAAATTTTTGAAAAAAATGACAAAAATTTCTTACCAACCCAATAGATAAAAAAATTTTCATAAAATATTTTGCATTTGAAATGTTAGATGAACAATTTTTTACTCTTAATCTAAAATAAATTATACTAAAGATTAAAATTCACAAACTGGTGTTTTTTTAAAGATAAAATAAGATTTGGGAGGGGTGTGGGTGTGTGTGGGGTGGCTGTGGATGTGGGTGCGGGTGCGGGTGTGGGTGTGGGTGGGTGTGGGTGGGTGTGGGTGTGGGTGGGGTGTGGGTGTGGGTGTGGGTGTGGGTATGGGTGTGGGTGTGGATGCAAGGGATATAAAGAGACCCACCCACACCCACACCCACACCCACACTCACACCCACACACTCACACCCACATCCAAACCCACACCCACACCCACACACTTACACCCACATCCACACCCTATGCCAACTGAAATGATTCTAATAAAGATAATATCAATAAAATTCTGACATTATCTGCGTCTCAGTGTTCTTGTAAAGTACATGCAGCCATTTGGATTCATCTACCTCGCTTATAGTTATACTCACACAAGAGAAAATTTTGCAAAGGATGGGCGTCGCTATGAGTGCCGTTCTAGTTCTGAGTGAGTGGATGAGGGTAAATGTGTGTTTTTAGGTGAGCAATGCGGATATTGGTGGGAAGGTGAACTAAAAAGATGCACCACCAAAAATCGCAGCCACACCCACATTCGCAAAATTCTGTGAACACTTGTGCTCTTGTGGCGTAAACGGCTAACGCATCCGGCTACGAACCGGGAGATTGATGGTTCAAGTCCATCCAAGAGCTATTCTCTATTTTTTAATGTAAAGCTATCGAAACAAAATTACGAAATATCTTATTCAGAGAGCGCCAGTTTCTCTGCACAAGCAATTGCATCATATAAACATTTCATTGTTGTTCTGTTTCCTCCTGTGCAATGATTTCGTAGTAAAATAAAGAGAAACACTGAAATGAGTCATCAGTACACCTCTGCCAGAATCTTACAATGAAGATGTCGCAAGTGAGAGAAAAAAAAACACTGAATTATGTATGATGAAATTATTTTTTCGGTGTTTTCTTAGTGAGGTATTTCGTCATAACTCATGGGTACAAAAAAATAATAAAGAACCGCTTTCGGAGGGTGTGGGTGAGTGAGGTGTAACTGTGGCTGATGGATGTACGTCTGGATGTTCACATTTTATTCTCTAATACCCACACCCACCCTCAAGAAACAAGGCATACATTCACCGCCGGTCAGACAACCACTCCCATTGCGCTTTCTGCATATGACAATCAGTGAAACTTTTGAAAAATTTAAAATGAAATATCCCGATACAGCAATCGGTCGATCGAATTTGTTTTCATTGCCACCAGCACGAGTCAAAGAACAAACACCTCATGAATCTTGCCTTTGCATATGCCATGAAAATGTAGATTTACTACTTCGGTAAGTAACTGCTCGTAGTCAATACATAAGTTAGTGTTAATTCATGCAATCATCAACTCTAATATGATACTTCTGGTCGTCGGAGAAACAAGTGATGGCCTATGAGTGTGGTCTCCAAGAGCAGATTCTTATCCATTAGGACCGTAATCTATGGCAGCACGCTCATCTTTACCATGAATGCGTTCGAACGCGTTTCTTTTTTTCTCAGAGAGCTTTCTTGACCGTTCTTTTTTATAAATTTTTTTCATGATTAATTTTGTTATAACCTGTACACCGAGCTGATAAAGTATGATAACGGTAAGTCAACAGAAAGAAACATACTTCAATTCAACTTTTGTGCTAAGGATATATTATAGCGGTAAGATGATGTTCGAAAAAAGTTAAGCGTGTTTGAATTGCTCAGACTACTATATAATATCCATATATCGCCTTTTCTTCTTTTATTTTTCCATCATGACTCTTCCATTCCTCTCCTACTATCTGTTATTTGTCAGCGCTTATAATTTTATCGGTGCAGCTGTTTTAGCTTATAAACCTGAATCATTAGAACATTTGTTTGCTGGTAGTGCAACTGTACTTGTCAATGATAGTGTAACAGTACCCATTTTACGACGTGTGATTGTTTGATGGACTTTAATTTTTGCCGTATTGCGTACACTAACTACCTTTTCTTTACATCAGCATGCAATGTATTTATCCACTTTATGGTCCTTTTTGATTTGGTTAGCATGGTCATGTAGTGAAGTATTTTATTTTCATACGGTTCCTTCATATACATTGTTATTTGGTATGGGCATGGGTACTATTTCGACAGTTTGGTTGTTGCTGTACTTACCAACAATGTGGTTAAACACTAGAAATGCAACATTTAAAAGTGAAAAAATCCACAGCAAATGATTCGCAGACGAATTGATGATAAACAGAATGACGCAATTTAATTTCTTCAATTTTCGGATATTAAATACTTTTTTCACCTCATTCTTTTTCTTGCATTTCAACCAGTGTGTGTTTGTGCGTAGGGGTGTGGGTGTGGATGTGGGTATGGGTGTGGGTGTTGTCTTCTTTCCGTTTCCATGCACACACACTCACGCCCACATCCTGTTAGAGGTGACGTCACACCCTTATAGCTAATGCGTCCTACCACACTAATGACAGATTCTGTTCTACCACTTTCTTCATATCGTGTTGCTGTTGCTCTTGATCTCGAATTTGGATTTCGTTATACTACCAAAGTTGTTGTATGAATATTATATGGAGCTGTATTATGTCAGGATAGACATCTTCCGACATAAGAACGCTACTTTCTCTGTTTATCTTATCATCGTATTATGCTAGTAGCATTGCTCCTTTTTTTTCTATGACATTTGATCTGGTTTACAGAGAGGCGACAAACGAATGATGGTAATAAATATAATAAAAAGAGAAGAAGAAAAGTTCTAACAAATTGTCTTTAGAAAATGTAATAGTGTCTTTACTCTCGATTCATTAGAAGATAACTCTTTAAATGTAAAAACTTGATGTCTGTGTATGTACTGACTTTGAGTTTGAAATTGAACTCATTGCAGTTACAGATTATGAAGGGAAACTTGAATAAGATTGAGAAGTTCATTCTAGTTTATTCGACAAAGAATGTTTTGGTTTCCACAAATGTCCTTCATAAACGATCCACTTGCTTACACATGTTATAAAATTATGCGCATAGACCTGTCTAATCCATCTGTCGGGTAACTTGTCATAACCGTAGTAGGTGCCAGCCAATTGACCATAAATAGCAGCGGTTGTATCAGTATCTTCTCCAAGATTGATTGCATTAAGAACTCCTTTCTCAAAGGAATTTTCATCGTAACAAAAAGCCCATAAGGCAGCTTCAAGAGCACTAACAATGTATCCTTTGCCTCGAATGCCATCCTGATATCCTCCAGGTTTCTTGTACGATCCTTCAGCAACATTCATAACTTCCTGTGTAAGTGGCTTGTTATTGAACCATGTTTTATGTTTCAAATAAAAGTTATCATCCAAAATATGTTCTTTTGTTTCACCTCGAAGAGCAGCCACAATTAAAGCTCCATAATAGCGACAAGAATCATAGGCCTTTTGATCGCCATGAGCAATGACACCACTAATTCCCGAGAACTCTACGGCTTCTATAGGATGTCGATAGAAGAAGAGAGGAACAGGAGCTAGTCGCATTAATGCTTCGTTACCAGCAACTCCGACTTGACTACAATGCACGTCAAATTTATTGATAAGGTTGAGATCTAAAAGAGAATCTAATTGATCAAGAGGAATTTGATATTCACTGGCAAATAATCGTTGACGACGCTCGAATTCACGCAGTGATTGACTGGTAGCACTACCAATATCGAAACATTGTCCAGTCGAAGACATGTAACCATGTCTGTACCACCACTTGTACCGCACTAGCTGATCATAAGGTACAAAATCGCGACGACATATTAATGAACTTGCCAGATAAAGAGCCATGGAGGTATCATCAGTGAACTAAGCAAATGATAATGATTGAAAATAGTACAATTATCCATGTTTAACACATGATTAAAGGATATATTTGAACGAAAAACAAATATATAGAGCCAATTACAGTATTCTTTTTCTTTTAATTTCTTTCATTTTCTCAACATTGCACAAGGCATTTCTTACAAAGCACATGGAAGCCTCTTAATAGAAAAAAGAATTAATGGTATTTAAAGATGGTCTAAGGAAAAATTCTTTTTTCGATGACAACAGCTTTTGTAAAGTAAGATTATGTATTAGTTTCTAAATGAAGTTATCTTAATCTTGATCTCAATAGCATTCATAATTAATGAAAGGGAACTGTACATGTTCGCGGTGTTTGGAAAAGTAGACAAGAATAATGATACCTAACCAAGGATAAAATGAATTCCATGTATGTGTTAGTTGATGGTACTGGTATTGTCATGCCTCTGACGTTTCTTTGAAATGAGGGTTAGTTCTTCTTAATCATGGTATCGATTTCGAAAATATTGAATGGATGACAAGAAATAATTATTTGAAAAACGATAGAAAATAGATACTGTACACATATATAGCTATGTCTTCTGATCCTATAGAAATTTAATTAAAGTTAAGAGAGGGTAAGATAACAACGAAATGTATTGCCACTTCTTCTTTCGGATTAATTCGGAAATATAAATAATGAAATCTTATAGAAAGACAAGAAATTTTACTTGTCCTTTTTTGAGACCCCAAGTTCCTCCTTCCTGAAGATCTTGCACGGGATATTCTATCAAGTATTGTCGTGGTCGAAATTCAACATGAGCTCCAAGTGCATCACCCAAGGCCATACCAAACATCGATCCCTTCACATAATTTAAAACGGTAGGATCAATAACTGTATGAGGATCTTGTAATTTCGTCTCTAGATCTTCAGGAGTCATAATAGATTGGTTGTCTTTATCATGATACTGACAATCAAGCCAAGTCTTTTCTAAAACAGAATATCTATTCTCTTTTTCAACAAGTTGATTATTCGCTGTTGTGAATGTTTTCTCCTTGCGAGTATCATTAAGTTTGTTTGTGTTGATAGGAAACATTTCCAACTGAGAAATTTGAGGTTCAATTGCAAATTTAATGGACGGTGGTTTTTCAGTGACTAAATCAAAGTCACAAGACATTTCTAATAGAATATTTAGATGCAGGTAAGTGTTGGATATGATTTCTAGTCTGTATATTTACTATAACATTATTCACACATATTCTAGACTAATCACTTTCTTTTCAATAGTTTTCCATTTTTGATATTACATCTATTCCACATCTATCCATTGTAAACTTTCTCTTCATTATCTGTCCTTGCGACTTTTCGATGGTCAATCTAATCACGGAACTCTTTTTGTAGGTCTCTAAGAACTAATTATCTCTAAGATTAAAAAAAAACAACTCAACTAGGAAGTCGAGTTTCAGAAATTCGACTCTTGCTCATTGATATCTTGTTTTATCAGATGAAATCTAGGAATTCGAGAGAGAATAACTTTTTCTCGATTTCTAAAACTCTATTGGCTCCATTGTTTCTTATATTCATCTGCATAGCCTGAGAATCTTATAATATTTTCAGTAGTCAGATATATTATCGAGAACATCTTGTTCAATGCCAAAACACTTACTAGATGATTGTAATGATTTAATTTCACCGATCGGTTGCATTATAGTCATTTTAAAGTCTTGTTCTGTGCGATATGTTCTGTCTATGGGCAGTGACCAAGCCGAAGATTTAGCCAATAGCTGATTTTCATCTTCTTGTAAATAAATTTTTTTAAGCCTAGTCGTTAGATCTTCTTTCCTCATCACTCGTAAGCGCGTACCAGGCATCAAAATAACTTCATCATCTTGTGGAAAGTCAGAATAATTGCAAATCGCTTTACCATTGATGCATTTTATTTCGAAGATAGTATACACACTATCTTTATCCTGATTCGTAACGTTAGACATGGGACCTACACATGAGCTGAATCCTAACCAGATACAATCTTTTTGATAATTATTAGTCATGTCACCTCTGCCATAGCGCCAAATTGTGCCTGTCATGGATGGTAATTTACTTAAAGCAACCACAAGGAGATGAAGATAAGAAGACCATGCATTGAGTCGGTTTCGTTCTCCGGAGCGCAGTGCTTTATTCAGTTGACTAGGGATAGTTTGGTCTTCTTTTAAACGCCAAATTGTATAAAGATATATGGCGCCTGCCTCATCATAAGTAAGATCATATATTGGTTGATGCATTATACTCTTTGCCGTCCATGGTACTACCTCAAAATTATCTATCAACGGTCGAAGTGGTTCGAGTGCTTTCTCAAGTGTTACCAATGCTTTTTTGCCATAGTCTTCAACAGATGGTAGTTTTTGTAGAAGCTCTTGATGAGCGTCGAAAAAGCGTTCAGGTACATAAAACAACTATTTCATGAATTCGTTTCATGTATAGAATACGGCTGAGTTTTCTTTTTTGTACCTCTGTTTCCATGGATACGATTTTCTCTATTTTTATTTTTGACAACCTTGCTAGAAGAAAAAGATGAACGAGAGAAAAGAAGAAACATAACACGTGCAGAAAAAACCGAAAACAAGTTGCTTTTAACACATTGATATTCATTCACTGAAGACTCTTGTGTAGAGGTCTGCGGGACAAACTTTCTCGTGTCCCGAATCCCGCTTGTCCCGTCCCGAAAGTTTTTGAGTTGTCCCGATCCCGTTTGTCCCTTCCCGAAAATTTTTCGGGACAGGACAAACGGGATTTTTCGAGTTTCGGAACTGTCCCGCAGTACTCTATTTCATAGACTTGTATTTAATTGAGCAATAAAATAATTTAAATGAGCAATAATTAAATTTAGCAATAATAATACTTAACGAGCAATAATTTATTTAAATTGAAGGTAAACTTTATATAAGATAAATTTTCTATGAAAAGGGTGCGAGATCTCAATCTCATCGTATTTATATATGTATCAGTCTATGTATATCTCCTATATCTGCATCCATATAAGAAACGTAACGCTATATATAGGGCGATGGCAAGTGCTGGAAAATCCATAAGATGGAAAATCTCATAGATGATGAACAACGAAAGAAAAATCCATGGAACAGCATGAAAG